ACCGTAGCACCTGTTTCTAATGGAACAGATTTAAGGGGACCCCCCCCTTTCCCGACTCAAAATTTTCACACTTTTTGTTTTTCATTTTTTGTGATTAGTATATAGATTTAAATGCCCTCTATCCATTGAGTACACTTTGAGAACTGAAAATCCACATCTTATATATAAAAAACTTCGAAAAAAATCACAAAATATGCTGAAAAAACCAAAAAACAGAAATTTCTTTGCGTTTTTCTCAAAATAAGTTTTTTCAGCACAAAAATGAAGTTTTCCCCCCTTTTCTCCTCTCGTACCGCAATCAATCGACCTGAAATTTTTACTGTGAATACTTCGAATAATTTGGGGTGGCCGTTTTTTTTTTCTCTTGAAAATATTCTTCTTAAGGAATTTTACTAGGTACCACAAAATTGGCACTATACGAAAAAAACGAAAAAAATCGCATTTTTTGATAGTGCCGTCAGTGATTTGGTTCTCCTGACCATTAGGAACGATATTTTTCGAAGAAAAAAAAAACGGCCAACCCAATTTGTTCCTAGTTTCTGCAGAAAAAATTTCAGCTCGAAACAATGCAGTATAAGAGTTTTGCGGGGGGGAAAACTTCAGGTCATTTTTCGCCCTTGGATCGCAAATATCTCTGGAAAGGCAGCATCTTCGAATTCTGAGCCTGTAACAACTTTTGCTCTACTCATCGAGATCTATCTACCCTGAAAGTTTCAGAAAATTTCATCGAGCCGTTCTCGAGAAACCTCGGAAAGGGGGGGGGGTCCCCTTAAACAGTTCACGTTGTTTTTCAGCTGCATCTCGAATGTGTTTCAAATGGCTTCTATCCAATATATTGTTATTTTCACTTGCAAATCGACACCATTGTTCTGCCGCTTGAAAGTCTTGTTTCTCGGAGAACAATAGAGCTAAATTCATTGCCGCATTTTGATCGCCACGCGTAACAGCTAAGCGAAGTAGTTGCTCTGATTTAACCAAATCTCTGGCAATACTTTTGCCAGCACCGTACATAAGCCCTAAATTATTGGCGGCGGTTGCACTACCATGATCTGATGCACGTTGATACCATTGAGCCGCTTTATAATAATTCATTTCGACACCGACACCTGTTTCATAGTGCAGTCCCAAAGAATGTTCAGCTTCTGCTACACCAACATTCGGGATGGGCAATTTGTCTGACATTGTAGGACTCTGAGCGGCTGCTTGTTCCAACAGTTCGATGGTAGCTTGTATATCTTTTTTAACTCCTAATCCTTGCTGGTGAAGTAAAGCAAGATTGTACATGCCTTCAGCATTGCCAAGAGCGGCAGCTTTTGAATAAAATCTGGCAGCTAATTCATAATTTTGTTTGACATTATCATCGCCATCTCGATACTGATGACCAGTAAACACAGCATCTTTGCCTGGATCATCTTTTCTGATGAAATCAATCACTTTTTCACACTGTTGAATAGTATATCCAGATATTTTTGACAAGTCGTTAAGTTGCTCGCGAGTCGTTCTCGGCATATTTTGCCGATTCAGATGATCCTTTCGATCATAGTAATGTTTTCTTTCAAGAGCAGAATCACGAAAATTTCTCATTTCACTGTTAGTTGGATCGAGCGCAAGCGCTTTATCAAACGAGTGAACAGCTTTTTCATATTCACCGAGTGCGACATGCGCTTGCCCAATACGAAAATGAGCTTTTGGCCAAGTTTGTCGAAGATCACGTGCATGCTCAGCGTCTTGTAGAGCAAGATATCGAGAGTCCATCGACGAAGTAACCTCTGACGTTTCATGTTTCTCCAGATATGCAGCAGCTCGATTTGAATACAGAATAGATCGATCATAATCACTCAAGCCAGCAAGAACGAGTGCTTGTGAGAACCATTTTATTGCTTCGTCAAAGTGCTTTTGTTTGTATGCTTCGTTACCGAGATCTTTCAAACGTTTTGCTTCAATCGTATTTACAGTATTAATGGGCTCCTTCTGTTTGGCGTCACTCGTATTTAATTTTAATTCAGCGATTTCATCCGCATCATCCTCGAATGAAATCAATATTGATGATAACTGAGACCAAATAGTTTCGAATTCAGTGTCTGAGACACATTTTGATGCATGATGAGCATTGTTGTTTCGAATATTCGTTATTGTTAATAAATCATTGTTCTCTTTCGTAATTCTCTGTTTGTCGACTTTATTAAGTTGTCTTTTAGGTTTCGTTTCACGAAGAACATTAAGTAATGTGGTTAAATCCCATTGATTTGTATCACCTGTTTGTAACATAATTTTTTGGATATTACGGCAATTTTGATAAATTTTTTGACCGATGCCTATTGTGTAAGCATGACCATCGGCCGGAGTATCCAGCCACTGTTGGCCTGTAAACAGAAACCAACGATCCTTGAACATTTTTCGAAGTACATGACATGAACGAGTCAGTAGCAGTTCCACTTTAAACCAATTTTGAAGTTTTAAATCCATTAATAAGAAGAACTTTCAAATTAATCTATCTTAGATGGAAAAAGGAAGTATAGATATCATGTACTAGGGCATCAGTTTTACCGTAAAGGTACAAATGTCTGCAAAACCAAAACGACAACAAAAACAAATAAGAGAGAGCAGACATAAGAAAGAGTTTATCGAGTTAATACACAATGTGAACGAGTGTGATTGTGGATAATAACAGTTTACTTCGACATATCTAACCATGCATTCACGTGCAATGTCGCCATATTGGTTTCGGAAAAACCGCAATATATTAAAACCAGAGAATATCTATGACGGGGAGTCTTATTGAACTAATATATGTTAGAATGAATATTGTCATGCACATGGACCCAATAAAAATAGAGTACCCAGTTCATATTTTCTTCTAGAATTATGAACTTGATGTTATCACTTCGACAATTACCAGATTTCATCACCGCTAGAGTGCTGTAAAATGAGTTTTAGACCAAAACAGTTTTTTTTTCTTTATAAGATATTCCATATTTAAAATACAAGCGTATTTTATCAAAAAAGTCATGAAATCATGTTTGCTACAATGTTTAGCATTTAAAGAAGAAAGCACTCATTTGTTCGCACAACTTGTATCACATTTAAGTCATTTTGAAGCATAATTATGAGAAAAACTCGTTTATTTAATATTTACATATATCTATGTATAAAGGGTGTCCCAGAAGTTCTGAAATGATTTTTAAAAGTTATCATTTTCGAATTTATTATAAGCGAATCTTTTTGAAATTTTTAAAGATTGTTGAACCTAGCTAGTAGTACATAACCATAAGGTTTCAAGTTTATATCTCATCATAATGATGAAAAACTGCACAAAATAGTTCGATGA